CTTCGGAGACCTTGAAGGGTCTGAAAGAAGTATCAAAAGAATTAAAGATAGGTCTCAGAATTCACATGCACTCATCAATATTAGTGGGAGGCACTCAGATATCAAGTCTCTATCACAATATTAAAAAAAAAACACCTATTTTATATCTATCATAAATTTCTAAGATATCATGTTGTAGAGAAGAAGAGATTTGACAGTACATGAATTTTGCAGCTATCTTTGAATAGCTGAAAAGAAAAGGGCATTTCTCTTTATGTTACTTGATCAAAAGCTACAATGTACAGGTCCAATTAATTAGCTTCACAGGTTGAAAATGGCAGAATTTTCTTCCGTTGATCAAAAGCCGCTAAATGAAGCAAGGTGTTATTCCTTAAATTTGTTATAGCACAGACCATGGCAGGTTAGCATATTCTGCCTGTTTGTGTGATATTGTCCAATTCTGACATTCATTGAGCTTGAAATTTTTTTGGTCACAATCTTTGAAAAAATTGAATGCTCAATTATGTATGCAGCTTTTTTATGCTTCTTTTTCTGCCTTTTTTAAATATTCGCTTTAATTTTAGCTTTTTAAAGCATCGTCCACGAGTCAAGGTTTATTGAGGTTGAAAGCAAGCATTCCACGAGTCAAGGTTTATTGAGGTTGAAAGCAAGCATGAATGATCTGGCTTCAAAGTATCAACAGTATCAAGTTGCCAGTGCTGAAGAACTTGAGTGTGGAGGCAAAGAAGAACATGATGATGTCAATATGGCATCGAGGGATGGAGTTATCTCCACCTTATTATTGCTCAAATGATTACCATTATTCGTTCTTTTTTGTGAGCTCTAAGCTCTTTAATTGAATTTGTTTTATCAATGCATACGTACACACACACACGGATATATATATATATATATATATATAATATCAAAATAAAGAGACAAGAGATGACTAATGGCAATAAAGAGAATTAGAAAAAACAAAATGATTTCCTTTCTTTTTTTTTTTTTTACCTTTCGTGGTTTAGTTTTGAGATTTTTTAGTTGGAGCATATAATTCTTTTTATTTGATTAGGAATATATAATTGATTGTGAAAATATTCAGAACCAATTAATTAGAAGAGTTTTTTTATAAAAATATTATTAAATCATTCTTTCATATAAATTTTAATTTTTTAAAGAATAAAGTTGGTTGAAATTAATAAGTTGTTAGTTTTAATCCTCATAATTGTAAATGGTAAAGTCACATGAACACTAGCTATAAATCCACAATGCATTCACGTTAAAAAATTGCGTTTAGATACAGAGATCAAGATACAGATATCGTGGAGAATGAGGTTCTTTCAGCTTTCTCTCTTCTCTTTCAATTGATCATTTGCCAACAACATGAAATTTCCGATTTGATTTTTTTAAAAAAAAAGCCTCTTTCTCATGATTCATTTTGCAAAGTTAAAGCTTGGATAGTCAACGTTATGATTTGACTCAAATCGTGAGTTTTCTCTATTGGTGTGCCCGCTTCTGTGAATATTGATGGCTTCTTTTCCGAAAAAGGGTGTTTTCAGCCTTGGCCTCATTTCACGTGCACTTCAACGTTAATGCTGAGAAGAAAATATTTTTTAGGGAGAATTTTATTTAAGGATCAGGAAAGCAATATATCTTCAGGTAGCTTTTAAAGAATTTCAAAATATTATTTCAGTCTTATGAGATTAAATTAAAAATAAGTTGAAAGTGAAAAAAAATTAAAATATCCTCAGTTCAGATATTTTAAAAAAAAGTCACCCGCCACCATCACTGAAGCATTGTTGTCGGTGACCGGAGCTTTGTCAGCAACGACAGCCACTGAACCTCCATTGCCAGAGCTCTGATCGCCGACTGGATCACCATCAGCGGTGGTTGGAGAATTATGGAGAATTAATTTCTCCAAAGGTGGATAAGGTAGGTGTAGAATCCAAGACCCCTTGGTTCACTAAAAAATTTTAGACCACCAAGCCACTCAACTTATGCCATCATATAAAGCATAAAATTATATGTATAATAAACCTCATTTTCAAACCACTTGATTATTATATTATTTGTTAATCACATAACTTTACTTATTAATACTTTAACAAGATTTGTTAATTACTTAACTTTTTTTGTTAACCCCACGACTTCTGCAACAGAAATAAATTACTTGTTGACCGCATAACTATACTTGTTAATACCTTAATAGGACTTGTCAATTATTTAACTCTTCTTGTTAAATCCATGACTCCCACGACAAAGCTACATTACTTGTTAATCATATAATTGTCATTATTAATACTTTAATAAGACTTGTTAATTATTTGAATTTACTTGTTAAATTCATAACTCCTTTAACTGAATTGTATTATTTATTAATCATGTAACTTTACTTGTTAATTCAACAATACTTATTAATTGCATAGCTTGACTTGTTAATACCATAACAATACTTATTTAACTGTTGTTTCGAAAAAGCAACCAAATTACTTGTTAATTGCAAAATTTTACTTGTTAATTCTTAAACAATACTTGTTAATTATTTATTGTCACTTGTTAAATGAATATATAATTTACATAAAAAATTAAGTTTGTTAGATAATGAAAGCGATGACAGTCGTGTTTTCCTTATTAGTATTCACCAAACTAGAGGTTTGAAAAATCTTATACAATTAAAGCCTAATATATTTTAACAAGTATGCTTAATACTGATAAAGGAAACCCTACTGTCATCGTTTTCGTTATTTGACAAACTCAATTTTTTATGTAAATTATATATTCATTTAACAAGTGACAATAGATAATTAACAAGTATTGTTGATGAATTAACAAGTAAAGTTATGCAATTAACAAGTAATTTGATTGCTTTTTTGAAATGACAGTTAAACAAGTCTTGTTATGGTATTAACAAGTCAAGCTATGCAATTAACAAGTATTGTTGTGTAATTAACAAGTAAAGTTATATGATTAATAAGTAATGCAATTCAGTTGAAGGAGTCATGGATTTGACAAGTAAATTCAAGTAATTAACAAGTCCTGTTAAGGTAGTAACAATGACAGCTATCCGATTAATTAGTAATGTAACTTTGTTTTGAGAGTCACGGATTTAATAAGGAGAGTTAAGTAATTGACAAATCCTGTTAAGGTATTAACAAATATAGTTACGTGATTAACAAGTAATTTATTTCTGTTGCAGGAGTCGTGGGGTTAACAAGGAAAGTTAAGTAATTAACAAGTTCTAATAAGGTATTAAAAAGTAAAGTTACGCCATTAACAAGTAATGTAATAATCAAGTGGTTTAGAAATAACATTTATTATATATATAATTTTATGTGTTATATAATTGAATGGGTTAAATGGCTTGGTGGTCTAAAAGTTTTTGGTAAACTAAGGGGTCTTGTGTTTTACACCTACTTGGGCCACCTTTGGAGAAATTAATTCTCCATAATTTTTTAGCCACCGCTGATGATGGTTCAGTCGGCGGCTAGAGCTCTGGTGATGGTGGTCTAGTCGAATGCTAGAGCTCTGACGATGGAGGTCTAGTGGCTGTTGTCATTGGTGAAGCTCCGATCACCGACAACAGTGCTCCAGCAACAGTGGTTGGTGGTTTTTTTTTTTAATATTTGAACTAAGAGTATTTTGGCTTTTTCTACTTTCAACTTATTTTTAATTTAGTTTTATAAGACTGAACTGATATTTTAAAAATTTTTAAAAACCACTTGAAGATACGTTGCTTTCTTGATTTGTTGTTGTTGTCTCCCTACTTTTTATATTAGCCACGAATAAGACTTGCAAATCGCTCTTTCTCAAAATATCAATAATAATAAGATGAAGAAGAGCATATTTAATAGTTTTATCTATTAACAAATGAAATCTTTTTTCTTTGGTGATTTACAATATAAAAGGTAATTGTACCAAGCAACATAGATAAAAATGGACAATAAATGAAGTTATTTTATGTGTAAGTGGAACACGAAGTAAATTGTAACATGCAAATTTGTATTTTAGTATATATTTTTTAATGTTAAAACTTTTTTCAGAAAGTAAAATCAGAAAAAATAACTCTACAAATAATAATAATAAAATGAATATTTATTGGCATATGTTACCACCCTCCCACTGTAGGTGTAAAACTGATCAGTAATAAATTGAGAATTTAATTAGTTATTACCGTATTTATTGTTTATTGAAAAAATCACAAACATTATTATTGATATTTATATACATGCTGTTTATGCTGTAAAAATGTTATATAGATTTCATAAAGGTTGCTTTTTTGTAAAGTAAAACAATTCTAAAAGAGAAGAGATATTACTTTAAGTAGTACATATAAAGAAATGCTATCGTGCAACGCATGGAAAGTGAACGTACATTTGTAAAAAGTGATGTCAATTGAGGGTAGTAAAAAGTGGTGTACCATGTAGATCCTTTCTAATAAGTATAAATTGTATAATGTTATTTTAATTATCATGATAAAATTTATTTATTATGTTAAATTTTTTTATTATAATAAATTATTTGTGAAATGATTTATTCCTGTAACAAACTCTGATCTATCATGGTAAAGTTTTTAACAGGAGGCTTTATTTTTTAATTATTATGACAGTCCATTTTCTATCATTGTAGGCGTTTAATATTATTAAATTTATTTAATAATTAATTAATTTATGAAAAATAAATTTAAAAATTTAGAGCGTTACGAGTTATTTATGAATTTAACTTTACTTGTTTATATTCATAATGATATTATACTGTTAATAAAAGTTATAAATTTTAATTAATTATTTATTTTTTATACATCAATTATTTAACTTCCTTACATGAGTTGTAAATTTCATCAAATTTCATTAGAGATAATAAAATTATTTTAATATATTTTGTAATTTTATTTTAATCCCTATGCAATAAAGTTTCAAAATTTTAGTCATTTTAACTGAAATTAAATTTGTTCAAGCGTCCTCCTTTCAATTTTCCATCTGAAAAATATCTCCGATAAAATTGATAATGCATTATTCATCTAGAAAATTCTGAAACATCGCGGGATTCTTAAAGAAGCGGGAAGCCGTGTATTATGCTCGCCCCAATTCCGAAGGCATCGGAGCTACGACAGATTGGCTTTATCCCTTATCCGTTGTTTCTCCCTGCATTTCCTGGATTCAAACGGTTCTTTGCATTTCTTGGACAATTTAATTTGACTATTTTCTCTCGTAGTCGGGTATGTTTCTGTCCCGTTGCTTTTGCTTCCAATTACGGTTTTACTGATACTGAATTTCATTTTCTTCTCGTTTTCAAAAATCTACCATCAAGGGCCTTGTGTTGTGTTAATCTACTAAAATTCCTTTCCTTCTTTCTTGCCGTGAGAGGCTACTTTTCATTTTCTATTCATTTCTAAAAATATGGTTGATTATCCCTTGTATACGTCGTGTGAGTGCGTCCTCTGTCAGCTTCTGATATATGGCAGCTCAACTTTCTTTGACTTTGGTTTTCTTCAATCCAGTTTCTTGAAATTTTCAAGTTTCTTGATTTGTATTGCTACGGATTTTAAATTTTGGGACTGCGTCGGTAAGTGTTGTACTATTTGAAGATGTACTGGGATTATTTTGTTCATTACGTAGATCCTTTGTATCTTGGGATATAATATAACTGTCTGCAAACATTTGATTCTAACTTCTCCACTTGGCGTGATGAAACCAGTTTAATTAATATTTGAAAGCTTGTAACCGAGAAAAAAAAAAAAAAGAACCTGAAAGTTTGGGGAATATGAGACAATTTGAGGACCTGAGTTCTTTAGTTTTAAAAGACCTGCAATAATAAAAATCTCATTCTTTTTCCATGTTCTTAATTCTTGAATTTGCCACCATCGAACTGCTTTCACATTATTATTATTATTATTATTATTATTATTATAATTATTATTTATTGAATTTCCCTTGGATTGTCATTGTTAGACTTTAAGGTCGATCTATGGATATTGATGACATTTTTGGTATCATCCGACCTATGAGTGTTCCAAGGAAGAGTGCAATTTATGTATGGGGATACAATCAATCTGGGCAGACAGGTAGAAAGGAGGATAACGACCAGTTGCGGATTCCAAAGCAGCTGCCTCCTGAGCTATTTGGATGCCCAGCTGGTTTAAATGCACGCTGGTTGGATGTTGCTTGTGGTCGTGAGCATACAGCAGCAGCAGCCTCTGATGGGTCTCTGTTTACTTGGGGTTTGGAAATTTTTTGCGTTCTGTGTCCCTTCTTGATATAACGTAGTGATAACCAAAATCCGTATAGATATCAAGAAGATTTGGAATTTCTTTTTGTTTTCATCTTGAATTTACTCTGTTTACTGTGAGGTTGTAATCTATAAGCAGTAAGTCATATTTTAATCAGGATTGATACTATTATTCTTATCGTAGGGGCTAATGACTTCGGTCAATTGGGAGACGGAACTGAGAACCGAAGCAAATATCCCAAGAAGGTAAAACAGTTAATGTCTGAGTTTGTGAAATCTGTGTCTTGTGGAGCCCATTGTACTGCTTGCATTGCAGAACCCCGTGAAAGGGATGGTACCAAGCCATCTGGAAGGCTCTGGGTTTGGGGACAGAATCAGGTAGGTCTTATAGTTGTTGAAGAATGTCAGTTTATTTTATGAATTTTGCTCCCAATTTCAGCCCTGTTTCTCCTCTCTCTTCCTCCTTTTAACCTCATGTACGTCATCATTTAGTACTGTTTTCCAAAAGATCTTGTGGATTAAAGTTGATTTCTATTCTGTACCACAGGCTTCAAATCTTCCTCGCTTATTTTGGGGTGCTTTTAAACCTGATACGGTAAGATGTATTTTGTTGCATATATTGTTGACCATTCACGTTTTGAATTCTAAACTTATTTTTGTTAGTTCTTAAAATTTTGCTTGAGTTTCCAACATTTGACAACTTAATGGATAAACCATTGTTAGTACATAGATTGTATAACATTTTAACTCATTCTAAATTGAGAAGAAATATTATCGTGTACATAGTCAATACTTGTTGCTATTTTAACCTCTTTTAACAAGGGACAATGGATGCAATCCATCAAATAAAAGCCTCTATCATGTTGGATTTCATTGTGTGCACCATTGGCCACGTATAGCTATTTTGGAAATTTTAATATGATCACCAATGATCATTGGTTTGAATAACTTGATCGTAGTTTTCCATCTCTTGCTCATGCCTCCTTTTAGAGATAGTGATCCTAAATAGGCAATGTAAAATGGCAAATATTTAGGTACTTGTATTAAAATGAAGGATGCTCTTGGGTAAGAGCTCATAATAATCATAGTTTTCCACTCAGTGATTCTTTCCTTTTAGTTCAACCCAAGTACCTCACTGTACAAGCACTCACTGCAAGAAGTCGATAAGTTAAATTGCTTCATAAGATGACACAACACGTTGCTAGATTTCAAGAAGCTTGCTTTCATAAGATCCATTCTGTCTCATTGTTCCAACTCCTCCTTCACTGTTTTATTCTCAATTTCCTTGTCTTCCCTTCTGCTTTGGTTTCTCCTTGAGGTCCATCAATACCCCCTCCAAGAAAAAAGTTTCACCTTGTCCTCTTGATGGAATTGAGAGGATTGAAGTTGGATGACTCGGAACTTTTCCCATGTGTTCCCCATATGTTCTTCCATTATTAGATGATGAATTGTGTTTCTGTTTTTCCATTTCCATTGGTCAGTTTTTTGACTTGGTATGCTTTCTTAGGGCGCATTTGCTATGATGGAATTAGGAGTTATGGATATGAAATTGGAATTGGAGAAAATGTTTGTATGGTATGATGCAATTAGAAAAATTTTTCAATTCCAATTCACATGAATGGTTGGAGTTAGCTTTTGAGTTCAGATGCACGAGCTCTTGGGGAGCAGGTCAAGTTTGTAGATTACTGCTGCCTCTATATTGTCCAGTTCCTCATTTGCATTATAACTTTCTTAATCACATTTTTAGCCAATGAGTTGAGCTTGCTTGGTTTTAGCTTGATATAAAACAAAATCTCCTCCATGAAACTGGATATCTCTTTGAATTTTCTATGTTTCATTATGAATCCTTGCTTGGTCATGCACCAAGTTCTCTTCCAATGCTTCCCAAAATGGTGTTTCTAGCTAGCAGTTGCTTAGTCACTCCCTCCATGACAAAAGGCTCATAATTAAACTTCAAATAAGGTACGGAGGTCCTCTCAAATATTGTCACAAAGGTTGCTGTACCGGGACCAGTGGCTGGGATTTTCTCTAAACTCCTATTAAACCACCTTAGATTGGCCATGAATTTTTGGTGATAAGAGGAGCTACTGAATAGAGTGGTGTTAGTCGGCTTGAAGAGTTTAAAGGTTTGGAAAATCTTGTAATATTACTGCTGTAGCTATGAAAATTTCAGTCACTTATTTTGCTTAAAAGGGGTGAGTTACGGGTATAAAATGAGCAAACTTGGTTAGGCAATCTACCTCTTCCAAGATAGTGTTCAATCTCATTGATTAAGTTAGGAATATGATGAAATCTGTGTGAGTGGCCTGTCAACCTTGCTGATGTTGGCAAGGGCTGGATCAAACCTGCTAGATGGCAGCACTGATATTTGTTCTTTTGGAAAATGTCACACGTAGTCACAAAACTACTTGTATCTACCCGTACCTCCCCAGTACACTGTTTATTGCCCCCTGTGTATGTATTTATGAAGAAACTGTGAATGTTTCCTAAAGAAGCGTGAAATACATAGATTTTGGCTTCAACTCTTGGAGTTTTCTGTGCAGAATTAGGGCCAGTTTTTAAAAATTAAAGAAAGTGATTGTAGTTAACACTCTGGTTGTTGGGAGAAATTAAGCTAATCATGGAGGTTTTGTTGGAATAGATGTTTTTGACAAGCTATCCAAATAACTTATCAAAATAAGCTTTTTCCAACACATCCTTCATGTGTTTAGCTTAAAGTCTCTTAATAATTCTCTTATACTCCTGACAACTTTCTTCTGTTCAGCCAAATGAAATCACTCTTTTTCTTTTTCCCTAATCTTAAACAAACTGGCCCTTAATCTGTTTTTGTATAATAAACATTTTCTCTTAAGGTTTTACTTCTTAGGTGGAGATAAGTTGGTGATAACCTGTTGAATTATTTGAGAAGACGTAACATATTTCTTGTATCTCCTCCTTAATACTCTAGTTTCACATTGTGCCTTGAAGCTAAAGCTTGAAGCTTCATGCCTATATTTTTGTATTGATTTTGTATTGACAAGTGTCTTATTTTCCTTTTCCGTTTTGTATTGCATGTCAAATTTGAAGCCTGTAAGTTTTGAAACCCAACTTTGTCGTTCATCATCCTGAATCCTCTGTTCTAAAAGATATTAAAGGGCTTTTTGATCAGTCTTGAAATTGAATTTGTTCTCCATAAAATAAAGCCTCCACTTTTTATATTTCTATTAAAAAACTTTTCTGCATGAACCCAAAACACCTATCCCTCTTGCACTCTTGAACCAACCAAACCATTCGTAATTGTTAATAGCAATATATGGGCCTATCAAGGGTAAATAAGAGGAAAAATGTAAAATGGTTTGTAACTTTCATTGGTAAGCATGCTAGACCAACTTTTTAGCTTATGAGAGATAAATCTGAAGTTTATCAATTTTTTAATGACTTCCATTCTCTTGTTCAGCACCAGTTCCAAGGCAAAATCCAAATTTTCACTAAGTGATAATGCCAAGGACTACCTGAGCCAAAATATTGACCAATACCTTAAGAGTCATGGCATCATCCACAAAGTTTTTGTTTTAATACACCCCAAAAAAATGGTGTAGCTTGGAGTGGCTAGGCCTATTGTGTTCACATTAGGGTGATGCTATCCTTACCATAGCTTACCTAATGAACTGGATGCTATGAAAAACCTTGAAATTTCAAACGCCGTTGTAAAAACTTCTTGAAGCTTATCCTTCAATTCCTTTTCTAACCACCATCCTCAAAAGGTATGTAGGTGTATTGCCTTTGTTCATAATGATCATGGAGGAAAGCTTAAACCCCATGTTCATGACTTTTCTTTCTTGGGACATTCTCCTAAACCAATGGGGTATAAGTACTATTTTCCTACACTGCAAAAGTACTTTGTAACCATGAAAGTCATTTTCTTTGACGCTTTCTGATGAGTAGAATAGGAAAGAATAGAGAAGAACAGGAGAGAGACAAGAGAGATAGAAGGAAAGAGAGAGAATTTCTGAATAGTACTCAGGAATTATTATTTCAAAAACATATTGATGAATTACATAGAGTTTGTTTATATAGGTTCCCCTGCGATAGGCTTAACGGTCTAACGGTAACTAACCGTATCTGAATTAATTATCCTCTAATTATCTATTTACACATCAACACCCCCCCTCAAGAGCCCTTTACCTCAAGGGTTAGAATTGACAAAACTAGGGTGCTGTTTCTGTAACTGAAACAAAGAAATCCAGCTAGCCTCTTCATCTGGAAGGTTCTTCCATTTCACAAGAACTTCCGTAATAATCCTGCCTTTTCTTCTACCTCTCCGTTCATTCAATATTTTCTCTGGAATCAAATATGAAGGAGATTCTGGCCAATCAATAGGGGGATGCCGCTGCTTTACTGAAGGATCAAGGCATAATTTGAGCAATGAGACATGAAAAGTGGAGTGAACCCTTGATTTTGGAGGTAATTCTAGCTTATATGCTACTGGCCCTATCTTCTTACAGATTCTATAGGGCCCAAAATATCTTGAGGCTAATTTCTAAGAGCTTCTCGAGGCTATAGAAATCTAACGATAAGGCTGTAATTTAAGAAATACTCATTGTCCTACCTCAAACTCTCTCTCACTTCTGTGCAAATCTGCTTTCTGCTTCATTCTATTCACAGCCCTATTGAGATGATATTTCACCATTGCTAAAGTTTCTTCTCTTGCTAAAAAAGTTCTGTCAACAGCTTCCACTACCACATCTCTAGGAAAATATGGAATATGCATAGGAGGAACTGTCCATACAATAGTTCATAAGGAGTAGTTTTTGTGGAAGTGTGATAGGATGTGTTATCCCACCACTCTGCTAAAGAAAGCCATTTGTGCCACTCCTTAGGTCTTTCCCAGCACATGCACCTTAGATAATTTTCCAAACAACTTTAAGCACCTCTGACTGCCCATACATTTGTGGGTGATACGAGGAGGTAAGTTTCTGTTTCACTCCCAAAACCTTCAAAAATTCCCTCCAAAAATTACTGATAAAGAGGGGATCTCTATCGCTAATAATTTCGACCGGTGACCTGTGCAATTTGTACACATGGTCTAAAAATTGCTGTGCCAATGTAGATGCTGTAAAAGGATGAGATAAAGACAAAAAGTGTGCATATTTACTAAAACGATCAATGATCACCCAAATAGTGGCTTTCCCATTTGATTTGGGTAACCCTTCTATAAAATCCATAGTCACACTCTCCCAAACTCGACTTGGAATAGGTAAAGGTTGTAGCAACCTTGGATAAGCCATTGATTCAGACTTACATCTTGCACAAGTATCACAATGCTTTACAAACTCCTTGATACAACAACAACAACAACAACAACAACAACAACAAGCCTTTATCCCACTAGGTGGGGTCGGCTACATGGATTGCAAGACACCATTATGCTCTATCATTTATCAAGCTTTTAGGAATATTATTAATTAAGAGATCACGTTCAACAACTTCCAAGAGTGTTCTCTTAGGCCTTCCTCTACCTCTCTTAATCGGACTCAAAGTTATATGTTCCATTCTTCTCACTGGTGCCTCCCTTGGTCTTCTTTGTACATGCCCAAACCATCTCAACCGATTTTC